GGGTTCCCCCGCCCGCCTGTTGGTGTTGACAATAAATCCGGGATCGCTTGTGCCAGCGTAAACTCGGGCCAGGTGGGTTTTACGCTGTTTGTCGTGAAAAGTTAGACTTGTTCCTAAACATGCCCCGGTCTTGCCCTTTCCTGCCTGTGAAGAAGGAAGTGTTACCTCACTGGCTGCGGCGAGTTTTATGACAAGATGTTTTCGGAGCACCTTGTCAGTCTGTGTTTCTCTGTCGTTGCGGCCAGCTTGGCTCCCAGATGGCCAATTCCCTGAACGGCCGGAACCCGCGCAAGGGACGGATCCTGGGCTTCATTGATGCCATTCAGGATGCTGTGGGCCCCCCCAAGCAGGCAGCTGCCGACCGGAGGACTGTGGAGAAGACCTGGAAGCTTATGGACAAAGTGGTGAGTGTCTGTGTGCGTTCGTGTATACACACAGTGAAGAATGGGGCTATTTAAATAAGTACACACGGGGAAACGGCGTCTTCCTGCAGCTCTGACTGCTATGCTGCGTGTGCCTCGGGAAGTAAGGGGACCGATGTTTTAGGTTATTTAAGCACCATTTGTCTTTTTTTTTTTTTCTCCCCTATGGCCCCTGGCAATGTTTTTTTTTAATCTTGGTTTGTGGAGGGAAAACAAATGTGTGTGTTTGCCTTAGGCTATTGCTATTTTCAGATCCTTTAAAATGACTCAAACTTGAAGAGCTGTCCTAACGAAAAGCTGCTTAACTTAGACTTGTGATCACATATTCTGTGTGTTTCGTGTTGGATCACATTGTTAGTCTGCAGACAAGACCTCTGAAGTATGAAACTTCAGTTAAGCTAGTTGTCCTGTAAGACATGCTCATGATGGCAGCATAGATATGTTTGTGCTTTTAGGAATGTGCGTGGGGACTGGGGGATGTCACTCTTGTCAGTTTAGTAAACAGATTAGTATGGCACGCCTAACTTTTAAGAGTGTGTTCTGCATTTTAATGATTTTTAAGTGCTTCTACTCGTCATTTTGAAACTAGAAATACACTGAAACACATTTTTCAGGAAGTGGGGCGATAGACCATAGTTTTTTAGATCTTCCAGTTCTCTGCACTAGCTTGATACATTTTGTTTGGTATTATACAAAATGATGGCTTGTTTGATGATAGATTAGCTAGGAGAGTTCCTTACCAATGGTAGGGACAGTTTGATTGTAACACAGAGAACTGCTCGGGGGATGCAGGCACTCTTTTGCGTATGAGGTGAGACTTGAGAGTTTCCTCTTGAAACTGCTGGGGAGTGAGGCTTACTACCTGTTAGCCTTGAGTCTGTATGGTAAGAGAGTTATGAGTTTTTAACTCAGTGATTCTTCATGAATTAGTGTAACTGTTCGCTTTCCCTGTGGCTCTTGTAAAATGCAGATGTTTAACATTTCTTAAAGTTCATAAGTAGTTATACTGACGTGGTGGAGATCATTTTGTGTTATATGTCTTGAGAAGTGGTAATTTCAAAATACTTGATGGAGTCCTTGTATGCTCTCCTTTGTGATGCTCCAAGAATAGCATCTGTATTTCCACCACAATTTTTGACGATGATTATAAACTTAAAACCCAGCCTTGATAGAAATGGTTGTTATCACAAAGACTTTGTTGACATTTCCCTGTTAATGATCAGGATGCTGTAAACAGTGAGCATCTTGTAATAAGAACTGCAGGTATAAATACTTGGAAGCAGGCACTCTTCTTCAGTAGAAGGAAGTTTTCGGCTTGGAAACCAGGAATCTGGTTCGTTGTTGTTGAAACCACGTGGGGAATGTATGGCTTAATTTCTCCCTGTGTCAGGACATTTACAAATCTATATGGTAAGATTGTCCCCTGATTGGTTTGTATATTCATGGTTACCAGAAAATCTTAACCCCACTGCTTGGACTTGTGCATTGCTTTTACTCAGCTAATATAGGATATTGTATAGTATTTGTCACTGTTACAACAGAGCATCAGAACAGCCAGTAAGGCCTGTTGTGTAGAAGTCACTGGAAAGGCTGGACGTTGCGCTGTGCTTTCTTTTTCATTTTACTAGATAAGTGTCCTCAATTTGGGTCTTTAATGTATCCTCTTTAAGCTGCTCTCAGTTAATCAAATTTTATTTCCAAATTATATTAAAGTATACCAGACAGGATGATGTCATAGTGTGAGAATGCTGTAGCTTCTGCTTGAGTTTTTAGCATTTGGTACTTCCAGTGAAAGGATGTGTTTGAGCAAATTTAATATGTTGGCAAACAAATTTAAGTCTTTTAGCCTTATGTGGCACAGGAAGGTCACTTTCTTCTCTGCCTAGATCAAAAGCAGGGATTAAAATCAGAAATAGAAACCTGCTCGATCAACTGTTGTTTTAAATCCCATTTCTGGAGTGTGTCCTACGAGTAATTTCTGTGGTGGGTCACTGATCAAATTAATACCTAGTGAAGGTGGTAGGCTCTGCAAAGTCAGTGGGGTGTCACCCACGGTAAGATTGTGGCTTTAAGGCCTATTTTGCTTGTTGTAATAACAGTCATTATCCTTGTTTATTCTGTAACTATAATAGCTGTGATAACCATCTTTTTGCTGCCATGAGGTAGCTAAAGTTTTCTCCCATTCTAGAGGTGTTAGGAAAAGGGAGAATGGAAACAAAGCAAAGGATGTTTGTTGCCATCCTTTACCTTGACCAAAGGATGAAAAAAGAGCAGTCTTAAAAACTAGGGGCAGAGCTCAATAATTTCTGGTTTACATTTCTTTCTTTCTTTAAATTGCCATTCTTTACCTTTCCTTCATTTCTTTCTGTAATTTCCTCCTCTGGCAGATGAGATTTTCTGCATGAATTATTTGTTTTCAACAATAAGGGGTTAACCAATACTTCAAATATTGCTACTCTGTAAGAACTATACTATGAGAGTGGTTTTATGGTGTATGTAAAAGTTCTGGCTACTTAGTTACCACGCAAACTTCTCTGTAGAATTGGTTGTATGTCATGCTTTGGAATTGTTCAAATTTCATGATAATGTTTGTTTTTCATGGGCTGATGCTTCAGCTGTTAGAATAGGCAGAAGGTTGCAGTTCTGTGTAAGTGTCTTCTCTTTAAAATTCTGTTACCAGTTTGAAAAAATCAAGGGTTTTGAAAGAGTTCTTTAGCAGGACAGAACGTTGGGATAGTGCTCTTGGTTAGAGCCCTGTTTGTAAAAGTTACTGTGAGCAACATAGTTGCAGGGAATAAAAAAAAAAAATCTTGTAAGTAATCAGTGAATGTGAATTCTTATCTGTCTGTATATCTTATATCTGCGCCTTCCTTTTTATACTTCATCCACTGGGATCTGTACTTTTTGAGGTTTACTGGTATGTCTTTTATATAAATTTACAGTACTAATTGCATTATTAAAGGGGCATCAACTGTTAGCATCAATGTCCAGTCTCCCTGCTGCTTTTCTCATGGGTAGGCAGAGCTTTACCATTAAGAACCAAAAATATTTTGTTTAATTCCTTCGCAATGCAAAGGCTAATATTCCTTTTATGGTTTGGAAGGCTAGCCCTGCTTTCCAGTGCTAGCATTGTATCAGCAAGTTGACCATATATCTCTGAACTTCTAGCAAGCAAATTACTGTTTTTAAAACATGATGTGTATTTTGGAACGTTCATATCCTGTAAATTAATTAAAAAAATGATATTGTTAACAAATAACTCTAAGTCTTCCTTTAAACTATGCATAAATTACATGGGATTTTTTTTTTTCTGAGTTTCTAAACCTAATGATTTTAAAACCTAGAAACTAGCCATGTATTATTGTTAGAGGATAATGGTAATCTTGAGAAAAACTTTGGGAGAGAATGCCTATTATGTAAACATGGGAGTAGTTAAGTTAATTTACTGCTCGGGCTATTTGGAGTTGGCAGTACTATTGTGCACACTTTACTATTGTGGGTTTCAAGCTGATAAAATTGTGACACATTCTGAACAGGATTTTTTAAAACAGGAATATTTCAGCAACTTCCAAACACTTTTCAGTACTCCTATGCGCTGGGCCTGAAAATAATTATATTTTCTACTGTGAAGATTAACAATATTGTCTAAACTGTTTGGGCGCCCTGTCACGGCCCACCCAGTTGTTTGACTCTGACTATATAAATGGGGATGGCAATTTGATTTGCTATTTAATAATTACCTAAGAGCAAATTAGAGTGCGTCTCCAAAGCTCATACTATTGACTTTGTGAGTAAAAGCTGTATTACCTCTGTAACTTAGTAATGTGGTTTTCTTTAAATGAACATATGTCAGCATCCAAGTTTTCAACAGCAGCTAAGTGAGTATACAAAGCACAGTAGTTGAAACTATGTGTGTGTTGGTTATTATTTGCAATTTTTTATGTAGTTGTTACATTAATGTGCAACCCTCCAAGTCAATTAAAGGTCATTGTTCCTCAAAGCATCTAGAAAAGACAATCCTCAATCATAACCATGGTATTCTTCGGTGTATTACCCGGTCAAAGTTGGTAGGAAGTTTTATGTCCTGCATACACTGTTTGTGGAAAAAGAATAAAAATTTAAATGGAGAAATGGAAGCTTCTCTTTTTCTAATCAACAGAAAGTATAAATGACCCTCCAAAGTCAGCTGTCCTTGTGCATATGTACCATCAGCATTGTTATTGCTTATTCCTCCAGTATGGAAACATATGGCACAGTTGCAGCGTGGTAGCTGTTGAACAAGCACTTACTGTATTCTCAGCTGAAAAGATCGGTGATCGATCACCTCTACTTATATTTTGATGAGAAGGCTTCTTTCAGAAAGAAAACCCATCTTTCCATCTTTCTGTGGAAAATAAAATGCATTGCATTTAATGTAATTTCTGGCAGGGGGCTGTATGATGAAGGAGCATAATGTTCAGATTTTATCCGTTTTCCTGATTAGCCCCTACCTGGTTAAGTTCTTTAGAATTCATTGTTGGTAGCATTGTGTGTTGTGGTTTTCTGGAGAATTGTTACGGTATTTTAGTGCAGAGCTACCTTTACGCTGTCTGTGTTGTGTCAAAGTGTTTGACTTTGACTTTTTTTTGTACTGCATGGTAGAGATACTAGTTCAGTAGACGGTTTCAAAGTGTAATTTTGGAAGTGTGCGAGCACTGGTGCTCTGATTGTTCTAGTCTATTCACTGCAGCTGAAAACAATGTTTAGCGGATGTTCTACTCATTAGATACTTATTCTGTTTTAGCTGTGTTACTTTCCTTGTATTGTCTTTGACTAGCATTAGGTGTTTAAACAGATTGTGTTAGAGCTGCTATAGTTTGCTTGAACAAAAGTTCTTTTGTCAGACGAGTCCAGGGCTTTCAACTTTATTGTTTGCTTTAAAAAGTGAATAGGAGATACAGTTTTCCATAAGAAATTCATTGTCTAAATACCGTAGGCATCCATTACTCTCATCTCTGAAGATGCTATGAAGGAATGCCTTATAATTTAAGTCAAATATCTTAAAAAATGTTATGAGTAGTGGTATTTATTTGGGGGGTGGGGCACAGAGAGAGGAGAGGAGGGAAGAGAGGGTTGGGTTTTTTCTCAGTAGGCACTAGAGTAAGCTTGTCTGGAAGTTCCTGAGTAAACTGTTTCAGAATCTGTTTCTGGTAGATTAGGGTGATGCCTTAGTTCTTCACAATCAGAATTTCACTCTATTGTTTCTGTGATTCTGGAGTAAATACTTGGATTTACCCTGAGTGAGGTAGTGAAAGGAGCTTGGCTTTGTCTCAGTCTATCTCAATGAGAGAGGCATTTCTTACTAACTTGCTGACTGACTGCTTTTCATTTTTTAGACTGAATGCTTGCTAAATATATATACATGCTTACTTCCAGTCATAACAATACACAAGTCACACAGTAATATGATTCATGTCTGCTCCTAAAGTGTTGGTGAGGATTGCTTTGTAAAGTGCAATGTGGAGGTCTTTATTTTTTGGTTTTTTTTTTTTTGTTGTTGTTGTTTTGTTTTGAGTTCTGTTTTCTTTTGAAGAAAGGTATGTGCGCCACTTCTGGTGCATTGGTAAATCTTTTGCGTCAGCAGATGTCATTTCTTATTGCTTACTTTTAATTGTGAACTGCTGTGGTACGTGTCAGGACATCCTGACTCTGGAAACCATATGGTTTACCAGCCATCTCTTTACAAACTTACTTCCTTTGGACTGAAACCTTGTGTACTCTATAAAGTGAAGAAAGCCTTGTACTATTTCACTGGATCACTGACTTGAACTAAATGTTAGCATTTTTTCAATGAGAATGCGTAAGACTAATTGAGTTGTACTGTAGGAGAATTTTTGTATGACTTTCTTAAAGGCTTGTTCTGGAGTTGAAGGTTCTGGTAATGTACTGTATTTATGTCTATAAATTCAGCAGAAGGTGAAGCCTTGTAAACCATGATGACCACAAGATCCTGTTTTGATGTGTGTATGACTATGTAATGATACTGGGCTGAAGAAGACTTTCTGGAACATCTGAAAGAGAAACTAATTCTTCTTTGCAACTGGATGTTCTTTTTGTATAGTTGAATGGACCAACTGTTGAAAATATACCAACCAGCAGAAGCAATTTGCATTTTCCTGTTGTTTTTATATTTTTAATGGTATTTCTAATATATACGAAACCACCTATATTCTGCTTGTTGGCACATCTGGTCGAAAAGATAGACTTCAGAAAGAATTAGTTCTTTGATCATGAGATTTAAGTTAGGATAAATAAGCAATTCAAAATGATTGCAGCCTTCTCTGCTTGTGGTCTGCTGTCATTGCTGACTTTTTTCCCTGATAAATATTTTCCTCTTTTCAGCTGTTTTTTTTCCTTTTGCTTGTTGCTCCAGAAAGTTGTAATGCCTAATCAGTGATATTGATTTGTCATCTGTACTTGGCTTTGGGAGAATGTCAATCTTGTTTCAAGTTTTCACTAAATCAGAAATCATAGAGAACAAAAGTTCAGATGAAAAATGTCTGTTTTTCATAAAGATTTTTGCTTCTGTCTTTGGCATTCCGGTTCTTCTAACTCTCCTAGAAAAAGAAATTCACATATGTCTCTGCATGGGTGATCTTCAGGTCTGTCTACACATGTAAAATTTTTTGCTCATGTTTCTGAAATCTCCTTAAAGAATTCTAGCTGTCAGCTTAACTTCAGCATAACTAGAAGAAAATGTTTAATCTCCTTCATAAGTCTCTCTTGTTAGTTCCTTTCTTGATCTTTTGGGGTGATATCATCATCCTGCCTTCACTCAGGCAACTCCTTTACCTGAACTGCTCTTTTAAAAGCTGTGTCTGAATCTTTCAGATTGAGGTGTGATTCACAGACAAATGTAACCTTCTGCATCAGTTCGTTCACCTAAAACTCTCATCCAGTTGCTATTTTGTGTATCGCTAAGTTCAGCTTTGCTTTTCTGGCCTTGAAAGAATGCCATCATATCCAGGCTTTATTCTTTGAGAATGCTGCTGCAGGCATCTCCTAACCCACGACTTGAACCGTGTTGTCCTGGTTTTTTTTATCCTGATAACCTTCTCTTTATCACATGAAATATAAACAAGCTATTTTCAGTTTCAAAGTTCCTTGCTGTCTTGCTCTTGCAGTTATGGATTGCAGTTCCAGAGTTCATCACCTTATGAAGAAATGACCAAACATCTTTATGCTTTACTTTTTTTTTGTTTCCTTCCAGCTTCTTCCTCAACTGAGGAGGAATTCCTTTATGAGCCACTAAATTATGTTAGAGCTTGCCTTGAAACTTTTCTTTGCTGTTTATATGTAGAAATACTTAACTGCTAGTGCCCTGAACCACTCTACTGTGTTTAAGTGTTGTGCTCATGTACTCATATTTGCCTGCATGTACTCATATTTGCCTGCATCCATCTGCTGTCTTTTTGTTTCCTACTGAGATTGCAAATTTCACTGTGGGAAGGACTGTCTGTTCTACAACACATCAGAAGGGTTCCTGATCCATTACTTGGTCTAGTAGGTGAAAGAATAATAGAAATTACTAAAGTAACAATGGATCAGTGAAATGAGGGGAGCTGTTGCAAATGTCATGTTTTAAATACTGTTTTTGAATGGTGCTAACATTTCTATAGCAGTTACGAGTTTGTAGTCTTCTAATGGTGCTAGACTTCTTTTTTTTAAAACTTGTTAGTGCTTGACTTTTGTCCACTCTTCTATCTCCACTTTTCCGACTATGATGCCAGTTACCCAAATCTAATTGCCTGGTGTGATTTTGTGTGTGTGTTTCAAAGGGAAGAAACAGTTATGTGTTTGCTTTGCTGTTCGTGGTGCATGAAGGTCTGTTAGTGGCAACAGTCTTTAGGCAGTGAATTTCTTAATGGCATAGATCTAGAAGTTGAAGGAGGGGTCAGCAATAGCGATATAGCTTTGAGTTTAGAGAGGTGAATGTTATAGGATATAAGTCTGTTTCCTCCCTCCCGGAAATGCTCAAGGCTGCACTTTTTTGAAGTTGATACATTAGTAGGAATAGGAGTCTGCTTTCGGCAGTATTAAGATGTTTTTACAGCCTCGTTAGTTACCTCAGAAGAATGTCAAAGTCACTAATATATAATGTGGCGATCTCCAAATGACACCTATAAAACTTTTCTACCAGATGGACTTAATTTTTTTGTAAGTATTTGCATATGTACAGCTGCACACACATGTCTAGAATGTGTCCCTCTGCAGTGTTTTAGCTGAGCGTGGTTAGCTCAATGCAATAGCACTTCAAAAACTACCCATTACTTTTGATCCCTTTCGCTTTCTAGTACAGAACATGACAGAAGAAATGACCAGAGAATTCAGGTAGCCAGGAGATGACTCTAATCTTGTATATGTTCAGGAAACAAAACCAGTACTACCTTGCTCCAGAAACTTTTCCAGTGGAGACTAGATTCAAATAAAGGTGTTCAATTCATCTGAAGGTTATTTTTAAAGTAATGTATATTATTCAATTAATTTTTGTGCCATTTAGGAACATGATGATTCCAAGTCCATTAAGATGTTATCTTCTATTACAACCATGAGCTGGAAAATACTGAGTTTATAATGTTTTGTTTCCTCGTTTACGGTGCCTGTTTGTGAATGACTTAATTTCTGTCTGTTGTAGCTAATAGCTTTTGAACCACTGGCAACATTCAGAACATTTTCATATGTGTAGACCTCTCAAACTTTAAATTCCTATAGGTTCTAAGAGGTTATATTGTTGGATAGAGAAAAGAGTGAGCCAGCAGATGACAAGGTAATTTATAGGGTCAGTTCTTAGTAGAATTTAAACATCCATAAGGGAGTTCACCTGCAGCAAACAGATCTGTATGGCATTAGTTGCATATTGTGTTTTGATAATATACTCCTTACCATATAGTAGGCAGGCAAAGACATTCTTACTTTAAAAGCAAAACCCTGAACTATGTAAGTAAGCTTGTTTGCTTTTTATAGATATGATGGGATTAAGTTAAATTTTACATCCTTTGACATTAGAGACTATGTTGGGATTTCATGGAATATAAATGAAGTAGGATTTAATTCTTTGTGCCTGGAGGTTAGACAAGTATACTTACACCCGTTAATTTTAAGATGTCAGATCAGTTTTTGCCCCAACGTATTTCTTGTCTTTTACATTCTCTTGTTTTTGCTTATAGGTAAGATTGTGTCAAAACCCAAAGCTTCAACTCAAAAACAGCCCACCTTACATACTTGACATTTTACCTGATACTTACCAACATTTGCGACTTATACTGAGCAAATATGATGACAACCAGAAACTTGCACAACTCAGTGAGAATGAATATTTTAAAATCTACATTGACAGTCTCATGAAAAAATCAAAACGGGCTATAAGACTCTTCAAAGAAGGAAAGGAAAGAATGTATGAGGAGCAGTCACAGGACAGGTAAGTGAAATATTTAAATGTGAAGTAGATTGTCTGGCCTGTCTGCATTCTTAACACTGTTTGTCTGCAGCCATTGTGTTTTGACATTTTTAATTATTTAAAGAGCAGAAATATTTATTGTTTGGATTCATTGACCCTGCAGGTCAATCAGTAATTTGCTGGATTTGTTCCACTGTGTGCTTTATCTGTCACTTTGTGACCTTTAAAACCAAGTGCATTTCCTTCATAAAACATTCATTTCATTCTAATTACTTGTTCACAGGGCTTTACAATGTGTAGTTTTTCCTCTGGCAGAGAGAGAGTGACTGTTACTTGGATTGAGCTTGACCTCCCTATCCCAGTTCTTAAAACTGTGGGAGCGGTGATGGATATTGACTTAGAGCTTTCACAAGTGATGAAATGGAGCAAAATAATATTCACATTTTTGCGATATTTTGTGATGTTAGCGTAAGGTGATGATAATGTTAGTTTGGTGCTGAGAAGCCTTTTCAGAAACCTAATGGATTCCTGATTTGCAGTGGTTCAGTTTTAATAACAGGGATTAATGTCCACTTTATGTGTATTCTTGGTGGTGAGTGAAGAGGTTTTTAATATTTTATTTTTATTACCTAATATTTTAAAAATAATATTTCAAGAACTTCCGTGCAAAATCTGCAGTTTTGTTTTGGGAAGGGGTACAGCAGTACTGTGGCAATTAGACTCTGCCATCTATGGTATATCTTTAAATCTATTCAAATAAAAGGTATGATGCTGTTTCCAGAGTCTCCCCTTTTTAAAGGAGGTAGTGGGAATGGGAGATAGATAGGAAGTGAATGGAGGATTGAATCCCTGCCATTCTATCTGCACCTGAGCTCAGAGGCAGGGCTGCAGTATAGTTTTACAGCTGGTGAAAGTGTTGGTAGAAGTAGTGAAATGTCTACATTCTTGTAAATGTCACTGCTGTTATGTTTGATTTATACATGTGTTCCTTCCAGATCTTTAGCAATGATTATAGCTATTCAGTATACTGTGGTAGTCTCCTGTACTTGATAGGGGGTCTGAAGCTTGCTTAATGTCTAAGGATTTTTTTTTAAAGTATGTAAAGACTGTCCAATTTTGAATATACTTGGAGCAATTTGCCTAAGAGGAGCAAAATACACAGCTTGAACTATTTTAATGATGAGTAAAGATTTTGATTAATGTTTTTTGTGTTTGAATTCATAAGTATATAAAGTAACGTTTTCACTGTAGATGCTTTCTTACCAGAACCTCTGGAAGAATTGTTCAGCTCTGAGCCTATGGGTTCTTCTTTTAATATCCCATTTGTTGTATGTACAGGAGTCATTGTGTTGCAAAGGAAATAAGAACTTTTTATGGTAAGGGAAATTTGACATAAATGGTTGCATTATGTAAACAGGTTTTATTTTGACTTCCCTATGTTGTATGAAACCCAGATTTACTTATGGTTTTGCTTACAGTTAGCAATAAATTAAAGCCAGTTTCAGTGTCACTTTTTCAATGTCTGCTATATGCTCTGTACAGTCATTCAAACAGTGTCTTAGTAGCTGTGTCTAGTTGCTAGAGTTGCTTTCTTCTTTCCAATTACCGACTTCATTTCCTGCATAAGGGTAACAGTGGCGATGTAAGGATGTCTTTTGTGAAGCAAACAGTTCTTGAAGAAGGTGCAATAAGCATATTTACTGTCATTTATTTGGGCCTTTCTTGTGAGATGATTGGAAAGGAAGGATTTTAAAACAAAACATAGTAATGAAGTGCAGTGAATCACAGTATTTCAGGAGGTGACAACTGTATTATTTTGCGTGACTGATGGAGTTTGAAGCTTGAGGAAGGGAATACAATAGAAATGTTTCTCCTGTGCTAAAATTGTTAGTTGTGTTTCCTATAAAAACTGCGTTCTGACATAGAGTACGTTATTTGTTAATGTTGTAATGCAAACGTAGGAGTGATCATTTAAATAAGTGTTTTTGAAGATGTTTCTAAAATGACTGTCAAATTGAAGTGTAGTCAATTTAAGAAAAAAAAAAAGGCAAGCCAGAAGCCTCTCGTGTTGACACCTGGCCAGTTTCTGTGGTTTTCAATCTTAAATTTGTGTTTTGTTTTCTGTTAGTGTCTCTGTGGTTTCTGGATAAAAGGTCATCATGAGAAAGAGGAACTGGCTGCATTTGGAAGCATTCTGTATATATATTTGATTGGTATACTTTTAACCTATTGGGGTTATTGAATAATCTTTTAACTTCTATAGTGATGGTACATTTAGGAACCAATGCCAATATACAAGTGATTTTATTTGCCTGATGACACCAAAATTACTCTACTGTGAAGAATTTGTTATGAATTTTAGTTCTCAAAGATACCGTGGATGAAACAAGATAGTGTGCTAGTCAGATTATGTACCAATGGCTAAACCAAAAGCTTACATTGTGATGGTGTTGCCTTTCTATCCTGTGTTCCATGTCAAACACATGATAGCCGTTTAAGAGTAGATGGTGCTGTCATTCTGTGGTCTATGGGATGAGTCTTGCTAAGCAGAGAAAGTATGGCTTACAAGTTTGTTTATGGTGTATGAATTGCATCTACCTGCTGGGTACAGTGTCTAGTATAAAATTATGTCCTCTCACAGTCCTCTTGCTTAATGAAGTAAGAGATATGTTCAATAAATTCTGTAAACTGTACTAGATACAGGCTGCACAGAAGTTTTTCTATGTATGAAGTAATTTAAAGATTTTTTTTTTTTTTGTCACAGATTTTACTTTGTAAAGTTTATTAACACAGGCTTATTAAAATTATTGGTTCAGGTACATCTACTCTTCTTAAAAGGCTTTCTGTGTCTTTGAGGGTCTGGGGTTTTGGGTTTTTTGTGTGGTTTTCTTTTTTTTCTCCATTGTTGTTTATTGGAAAGTAGACTAAAGCTGGAAGGCATCACTTCTGTGAAGTCCAAACTTCCTTTTGTTTTGCTGCATTCCAGAATTATGCATCCAGAAAAAAGAAAAACTTTGTAGGCTGGCAGTTTTTTCAGACAAATATGTTAGCCAGGTGCAAAAATCAAGCACATAAGTTGCAATAATAAGAATAGAGAAGGAATAAAGTGGCAATGGGGAGATTACGTTTGGGTTCATTCAAGATGCTGGACGTGGTCTTCATGGCTAACGCAACCATTTCTTAGTAACAGAGACAAGTGTGAGCTTTCCTGTGCTTATCTGTAAATCGTGTTCTTGGAAGAATACATCTTGAGATGGACCTTGTTCGTTGTCTGTTTTAATATTGCATGCCTTCTGCTATATGCCCTTTATATGAGGAGAAGGGGAGAAGTATAAAACGCATGCCTTCTGCTATATGCCCTTTATATGAGGAGAAGGGGAGAAGTATAAAACCAGGGTGTATACTTATTGTTATTAATCTTTTAAATGCTGCTTCGTTCAGCCAAATTAGTTGGCTACTTGATTTTAAGTGGCATTGCAGAAGTGAAAGAGGAAGATAAGATGAAAGGCGGATATTTCTTAAGTAGCAGGCAGTACAGATGAAGATGGCAAGAGGAGAAGAGCTGATGTTGTTTTGGGGTTGATGTAAAAAGAGGTGTGCATGGAGGGCAAGTCAGAATCAGACCCAGTTGCACAGGTAAGCGTCAGGATGGACTTCAGTTATGTCAGCTGCAACGCAGTAACAGCCATTTATGTTCTTCTGTCCCGTGGTAAGTGAGAGGTAGCTTACCCTACTTCTTTGAATTACATCAGCTTGCACCACAAACTTGCTGTTTTATTTACAGGAAGTTAGGAGGTTTATAACTTAGCTAGCCTTGTAACCTGTTTGTGTCTCCAGACAGAGGAGATTTTGTTGATTGAGAGAAGGATCAGGAAGAGTATCTTTTTAATTCAGGATGATTTTATTTGGACAAGTTAAAATTGTTTTGGCTGATGGTTTTCTTGTTTGATGAATAGAATGTACAGATTCAGAAAAGAATGTTAATGGCTCTTTTCATAGAGCCAGTTTTGGCTATTGGTTAACATCACATAGATAACTCGGTAATTGTCGGATAGTAAGGACAGCAACCTTCACCAAAGTGGATTGGATTTGAAGTTGTGATCTTGTGGTGAAAGTTGTTGGCTCCTTAGAATCCTGTGATTTGTCCCATTTTCCAAGCATATTATGTAGTTTTTGGTCTTCAGTAAATTCTGAGCTGAACGGTTAGGCTATACATACCATCAATCTGTTGTCTGATATGATCTGTAAACCCCTATACTTAGACTATGTCAACATGTTTTAGAGATCAAATATATTGACTACTTTATTCTAATCTTGCTGAAGCTGAGGCAAAACAATCTAGTATTTGTCCTTTCCTCTCTTGTATTTATTTACCTGTATTTTTAGATGGTTCCTTTGCTAGATTTTTAGGAAAAGAAGCTGCCTTACTCTGCTTGAAAGGCATCTGGAGTGTTGACTCATTGCTTGAACTCCTGTGCTGTCCCTAGAAAAAAGAGGACACTTTCTCCTTCAATGTATAGCCTGTAATACAGTAATGCGGAATGGAACTTGGCTACAATAAATAACCTCTAATAAAGAGGCTTCTTCTGAGGAAAAGAAAGGGTATGACTAATTGGATGGGGTTGCATGGGAGAAAAAAATGCAATGAGATTTTTTTTTGGAAGCTTTTATGTTATGGTGATAATTTCCACCCTCTTCTCCCCTGCCTGTTCCTTAAATGTGATGTAAAACCAGATGTGAACCAAAACAGCTTTAAGAAACTCTTTGGTGTACCTGAACCACATGAGTAATTGAGCGTTAGTGCAAATTTAGTGAAGCACAAGCCATTTGCTATTTTTGGTTCTAGTCTAAATTAAACAAGGAATGTTACACAAACACACCTTTCACACAAAGAGGCTCTTGTTGCAGAGGGCAGGTGAGAACATGTGGAGGTTACAAATGGTAGGGCAGTGTTATGACAGCTTGTTCTCAACATAAATGCAAACAGGCTGTGTGACTGCAGTTGTTGTAAGGCAATATTT